GGAATAGGGAGATGGGGGCCTTTGGATATAAAACATCAGAAGAATCAATGGTTAACTGTTTTTTCAAAAATAATTGGCCACATCTTCAAGAACCTCAGAAACACTGTAGAATAAATATTCCTGTCATCAGACACCCTCCCAGATAATCAAGTACTTAGAAAAACAAAAGATAAGTAAAAAATGTTCAAGCTACTCAGAAGACCCAGAAAAAACAGGTATATTAGATACTGATAATAAAGAATTATGGCAAGATTTCTGATCAGAAGTTATGCAAAGTAGAGCACAATAAGATACTATTTTTAAAGTACTGAAAGAATTCAGTAGAAAAAGTTTTTTGAAATGGAGAGCTAGAACCTGTATCACAAAAATGAAGAAAACTCATTCCCACTTTGTTTCCACTATAAGAAATATAAAAGAATTTCTCCATGCAGAAACATTGTGATAACAGGAAGAAATTTGGACCCATGCAGAAATTGGGGTCCTGGAGATGGGACAAGTAAAGGTAACTAAAAACACATTTTAAAAGATTTATTTGTATTTTCAACTCTGGGTATGTGTGCGCACATGTGAGTACCTACAGAAGCCAGGGCATCGGGTCCCACTAGAGCTAGAATTGCCGGTGGTTGTGAGCTGTCTGATGTGGGTGCTGGGAATCGAACAAGAGCAAGTAGGTATTAACACCTGAGCCATCTTGCCAGCCACATTTTTTCTTACTTTTAATTGCACTAAAAGATAATTGTGTAGCTGGGCACAGTGGCACTCATCTGTATCCCAGTACTATGGATGCTGAGTGAGACAGGAGGATGTCAAGTGGGAAGCCAACTTGGGCTTCATAGACCTTATCTCCAAAACCAAAAATGGAGCCTGAATTGTCTAAGTAAACAGTTACCACATATTGGAAGTTTATACCATATGTAAAAATATTTGATGATAGTATAAAGAATGGGAGGAAATATTTTGATAATTCTGCTGTGAGGTTCTAATACCATGTATCAAGTTGTGTGCTATTATTTGAAGAGCACAGCAGCTGGGTGGTGGTGGCACACGCCTTTAATCCCAGTACTCAGGAGGCAGAGGCAGGTGAATCTCTGAGGTAGAGGCCAGCCTGGTCTACAGAGCAAGTTTTAGGATAGCCAGGACTACACAGAGAAACCCTATCTTGAAAAACCAAACAACAACAACAACAGCAAAAAGAATACCAGGACTAAAGAAACTTAACTATAAATCCTAAGACAGTTGTTAAAATAGATTTTTTTTAAAGTATAAACATACCTATAGTAAAGATAAGTAGAATCACAAAAATACCTTTTTAAAGACACAATGGAACAAAGAATGGAGAAAACAAAATTAACAATATAGATTATAATCCAACCATAGGAAAAAAATGACATGCAATTAATACAATGTAAGACATTTAAATGTAGATATGTAAGTTGGAAGAAAAATTATCAACTTAGTTGTAAAACATGCCTCCACTATGATATCTACAAGAGAGCATTTTAAATAAAATTCACAGAAAGATGACAATTAAAATATAGGAAAGGGGGGCTGGAGAAATGATGGCCCCGTGGTCAAGCACTTATTGTTCTTTTAAAATACTCAAGTCTGATTCTTAGTACCCACCTCTGACTCCTGCTCCAGGTATTCAACATCTGGTAGCTCTGGGAAATTGCACACATGCCATGTACACTCACATACAGATACACATAATTTAAAATTACAACATATTTTTAGACAATGTTAACATGTAAAGACAAAGACTACTGGAAATGTTCCAGATTAAATGATTTTTAAAGAACCAGGCTAAATGATGAAGTCTATGTTAGTCCCTGATATGTTCCTTTCCTTACTCTCCTTAGAGAAGCTGGCGGCACTCTACTGTAGGGAAGTCACCATAGTGATCCCAAATTTAGTGTGAATATCCTATCAGCGTAGCAGACTAACTCCCAGAGCTTCTGAACTCAAGTGATCCTCCTGCATCAGCCTCCTTTACTGTAACTACAGGTGTGTGCCACTGTGTGCAGCCTCCTACAGACCTTGGAAGACAATTGTGCATAGACCATGACTGGATGAACCGACTAAATTAACATATAGGTTGGAGATTAGACAATCTAGATATTGTGCTAGTATAAAAACATAGGTGATAATTGCACTACTGTTACTATGAGAGATTTCCTTGATTTATACTTAGTTGACCTTCTATATTCATCATATTTGCATCTGTAGAGTCAACCAACCGTGGGTCAAAAATATTCTTTAAAAATGTGTCTCAGGGCTGAAGAGATGGTTCAGGGGTTAAGAGCGTGTACTGCTCCTCCAGAGGACCCAGGTTTGGTCTCCAGAACCCATTTCAGGTATTTTACAACCAAGTATAACTCCAGTTCCAGGGGATCTGATGCCTCCTTCTGGCCTCCAAAGGTACCTGCACTCTTGTGCATGAGCTTGTGCACACACACAATTAATACATACATATATATATATATATATATATATATATATATATATATATATATATATATATATATATAGTGTGCCTGTTGCCAGGTGATGGTGGTACATGCCTTTAATCCCAGCACTTGGGAGGCAGAGGCAGGTGGATCTCTGAGTTTAAGACCAGCCTGGTCTACAGAGTGAGCTCCAGGACAGCCAAGGCTATACAGTGAAACCCTGTCTTGAAAAACCAAAAAAAAAAAAAAAAAAGAAAAAAATTGCCTGTACTAAAAATCTACAGACATTTTTGTCATTATTTTCTAAATGATATAGTACATTAACTTTTCATGGGTTGATACTGTATTGGATGTTGTAAGAATTAATTGAGGTGACTGAGTATATGGGAAGATGCATGTATGGAAATACTATTACAAGATTTTATATAAGAGATTTGAGTATACCCGCATTTTTGGAGCTTTCTCTCATGGATATAAAGGGACATTTGTGCTTTTGGGTGAAAATATTGGATACCTTACCAATAGTGGGTTTTGTTTACCCTCAGATAGTCTCAGGAAGAAAAGTTATGAGGGAAGACAGTGTAAGTACAAATGATCAAACATAGGGGGCATCAAGGACATATCTGGATATTTCCTGTACCATTTGTGGTTTCTGTAACTTCGTAAATTTGAAGTTACTAAAACAAAAGTTTTAAAACTTGCTTTACAAAACCCAAGAATGAGACCATAAATACTTAGATGTGTGCATTTAGTAAGCAACTTAAAGGAATGAGCGTGTCGGCCTCCAGGACAGTGCCTGTTTGCCTACTGCCTGCTGTAAACCACTGGCCTCCTCCAACTTAACAGCCTCTCCTGACACGCAGTCTCCTGCATGTGCAGCAACATCCTTGTGTGCCTGCACATAGACCGTCAATCCTCCTTGTGCTATGAATAGTAAAATTATATCTAACCTAATCTCACGGCTTTGCCAGCACCCATGGAAAAGAACACGTGTTTCTCCACTACTCTTTAGTCTCTACCCCTATCTCACTCTGCTCCATTTTCCCTCTTTCATTCATTCATCTTTTCTCTTCTTCCCTTTGCCTCTCATTTGAGTGAACTCTGATTGAATGCACCAGTCTGTGAGAGCAAACACTGTTATATTCACCTTTATTCCCAAATGGAGTCAAGGGTAGGATTTCTTTGTATGTTTCTGGTGGATGATTAATATTATGAATGCTGGCTAACACGCTGAACTTAAACCTCCAAGGGGGAAAATGACAGTTCTGTTTTAGGCTAGTGTTTAACTTACACAGATCAAGAGTGCCAATAAGGATCATAGACTTTTAAAGGTCTGAAGAATTTTGGAGATCATTTCAAGCTAAAGTCACTTTCCTAATATTATAGCTAGTGAAATGTACTATCACCAAGGAACTGACGACTAGTCTTTTTATTTCTTCTCACTGTAGTTATACTGGTAGTGGCCTTGTTGGGCTAGAAATAAATCTCATATACTGTTGCTGTCTGTTGAAAGTGACAGTCATAAGATGACTGGATTACCACTGATAAGTTAGTTTTACATCCTGTATATTTTGTGGAACCACAGCATTTGGGAAGTCATCCCCCAGTATCTATCCTTAAGACAATTACACTTGGCTCTCTCTGTCTTATAATAGAAGACAAGTATAACCTAGTATAATAAAAGCTGTCACCAGAACCTTTCTCTTGGCCACACAGGCTCTGTGCTGGTGACTAGGACCATTTAGCTCCAGAACCTCATCTCTTGGGTTTATCTGCAGTCCTCTGATGTGCTGCCAACATGACCTAGGTTCTGTCACTTCACCCATTTGTGCTCTGCTTCCTCTGATTTGTAAAATGTGAATATAGTTGTAACGATCCCACCAGTTACTGGGAGATTAATGAACTGATAGATATGTAGCACTTCAGAGAGTACCTGATGTAAGTGGTACACATTTTGTATAATGTTACTATTTACTCAAAAGATGGACAAGAGGCTATAATACTTTCCTTGTAACTTGTCAGCCAATAACAAGGATCATTAGTTGATTCAGGTCATCACCTTCAGAGGGGTTAGTTTTGCTCTTATTTGTAATTTTAAGGGTATACTCCCTTTCAGAGTTTATACTATCTAATTGTTTTTACCAATGCCTATTATGATTCGGTTTTCTTTCCACTTTTGTTCTTTATGTGACTTGTCTGTGTTATGTGGATTTTGTGTGTTACATTTTTAAAGCCAGATATATATATATATAGAGAGAGAGATACTATTTTAGTGGCTTTTAAATCTTTAGTTTCATGAGTCTGTGCAATGGAAATGAGGATATGTAAATTTTGAGATGTGCACTTAAAAAGTTATGTAACATAACCTTGTGCTTGATTATAAATTCCCACTTTACCCATTTTAAGCAACATTCATATGTGATCTTTTACTAGAATACAATTATTAAAAGTACTTGACCATATGAATGCAAGTATGACCATACGTTGCTTTAAGGATAAATGATCACCCAGTAACGTGGTCTAAGTAAAATATTCTCTCTTTTAATTATGTAGTCCTCCTCGCCATCCTCATCACAGCCTCATTCTAGCCACTGCAGAACGAAGGCCTCATCATTGTGTCACCATGCATCCCTGCCCTGGGTCAAACGTAACCATGTAGGCCCTGCAAAGGCTACCAGTCCATCTCTCCGTCTTCGTCGCTGGCGACCCTTCTTACGCCTGCCATCTTTGGGTCTCCATTCTGTTGTAAGTGTAGTCAACCTTCCATCTCTTCTCCCAGTGACAAGGGCAGTCTTTTTGTTTGTGTGTTTGTTTTCCTTAAATGCCTCCAGTCTTTAAAGTGCTTTTCTCTTGGTTCACTCAACCATTAGCTTTTTCTACCCCAATAAGATTGCAAGCATACATCCATGCTCTGCAGTCTAGCTTGACTTTTGCCCGTGCCTTGGTGAACATCCATCTTTCCACTCCATATCCTGTGAATGTAAGGAGATGTGCCTGTTGATGAATACTGATTGGCATTTGTGATAACACTAACTTCCTATGAATTGTTAAAGTGAGTGTGTGTTTCCTTACCCTTCAGCTTTCTGATTTCACTTAGATAACTTAGGTCAACAAATGCTATGTACCCTGAGTTCTTTGCCATCTATTCCTTTATTATTATTTTTTTCATATTTCTGAGCATGACTAGTCTCTTGCCATGCTCTGGGTCATTTTACTTACTCTGTCCTCAATCTAAATCCTTCATGGTGTAGTGTATTGCATCTAAGCTATTTTATTCCTTGATGTGGCTCAGGGACTTGGTTTAATCTTGATCCAATCTTTACTGCCAATTCAGTTTCTAACGATCTTTTCCAAGTAGGAGGCGGAGAGTTGCTCCTTGTGTATTAATATAGGCGTCCTACAAATTTTATTTCTCTTGTAAGCTAAAAGTATCAGCCAACTATTATAATATGCATATACATATGGCCTGAAATAGCCAAGTTGATAGAATTCCAGTAGTTCTCATACATTAAAATAAACTGCAGAATTAAGCAACCATGCTCTTGTCTTTGTGATGTTCTAAGCCACTGAAGGCAATGACTGTGGTTTGACAGAGCCCATCTAGAAAAGCAGTAACTGAAAGCTTTGGTGTGTGCCATACATCCATAGGAACCTGTTATTTCTATAAATCATTACAGAGCTTGAAGCGAGAAGTCTAAATATGCGTACATTTTAACATTTAAAAGCAGTTAAATGTCAAATATCCTCTCTTCCCCCTCATTTACCCTTTTAAAGCTGTCTTCAAACTATCAAGTCCACAGTTGCCTTTAAGCATTTGCTTCCACCAAGTATCAGTATGGTTATCACACAGTTTCCATTTGTGCTGAATATCAACAGACTGCTTATTAGTCTCTCTCTCTCCTTTCTCTCCTTCTCTCTCTCCTCTCACCAGATTACAGCATTTATTTGTCATTTTTAATCATCCATCCATTTGATATTTGTGCTTCTCTGCTGTGCTATGTACTATTTGACACAGTGAGAAATAAAGGTGAATTAGAAGAACAGAGTGCAATCTAATACATTCTGATCAAGGGACAATTCATTTAATTCTAAGCATGAATAATTTCTTCTGTATTTTAAAATTCTAAACATAAATAAGCATGTTATTTGGCATTTCCAGTTTTATGTTTTTGTGTATTGTTGTTTGTTGCTGCATATTAGTTCCATTGCCTTATCACTTTGTAAACATTTCCATAGCCTAGTGCTTAAGAACATGGACTGGAGCTGCACTGCATGAGTTGTAGTCCCCAGGCCATCACTTGTTAGTCATCACATGTGTTACTTGACACCTTCCTACTCTGTATTCTTAAGTGTAAGATGCAAATGAGCATATAAAGCTACCTGACTGGGTTTATGTGATCAACTGGCCAATACAAATACAGCATTCCATCCGTGCCTGGTATAGATTAAGTGCCTTATAATTACACCTTAAACCTTTTTCTAATGTGAAATTTATATGTAGTAATAATGAATGCATTGATAATTTATTTATATCACTTTTTAGTTCTTTGGGATTAATGAGAAGCCTTCTAAATTGAGGATTCAAAAGATAGAAAACTGTAGGCAGAACTTACCGGTCTCTAGCTTCTGTTTTTCATATGTGTGGTAGCTGTTTGCTGACTCTTTTTGGACAGGAAGACATGCTGGAACTTGTTGCTTGCTTACTCTTGGATTTCCTGGAATACTTGTTGGGCAGTTGAATGATTGCAGACGTTAGACTCTCAGACTAATGGAGTTAGTTGGTCAAAGGATAAAGCTGACCAGAAATAATGAAGTTTTGAAGAAAGTTGAAACATTTACCTTTTATGACAAGTCAGAAGGCTTTTCATACTGCTTTTTGTTTTGAGACAGTCTCTCTGTGCAGCTCAGGCTAGCCTCAAAGTCTTTATCACCCAGCCTTAGCTTGTCAAGTGCTGCGATTACAGTCAAATACACCTGGCTTGAGATTTGTATTTTAATGTTCACTTTTACTTAAAAGGGACATTGGTGCATAATTTTGATACATTAGATTTGATACTTGCTTTTGTTTGTGATGATGTATTAATATTATAACAATATATAAGGTTTATGTAGTGCTTAACAGTTGACAGATATTTTCACAATCTCATTTAAACTTCAAGGGGGTGGGGCTGGAGAAATGGCTCACTGGTTAAAAACACAGGTTGCTCTTTCAAAGGACCAGGGTTCAATTCCCAGTACCCACATGGTGGTTTACAACCTTCTGTAAATCCAGCTGGGGGATCAGACACTCCCTTCTGGCCTCTGCAGGCACTGTGTGCACGTGGTACACAGACATGCATGCAGGAAAAACATGCAGACATGTGAAAGAAAAATAAAGTCAAAAAATGAAAATAAATAAATAAAACTCCTGATGCAGTTGACTACAGTTATAAGCTTAATATTCATTTAAACCTCAAAACAGATAGGAAACTCAAAGCTCCCAGGGATTGGGTTCCACATTCAAGTCCCCAACTCCAGTTGAAGTTTTTTTAACCTCTAGCGACCTTGCACTTTACTGGCAAATATGAAAAATGGAAGCTATATGATGTTTAGTTCTTAAGGGAAATTGTTCAGGTAAATCATTTATGAAAACAATAACTCAAAGGCTTCAGATACTTGATATTCTTTAAAAATTGTCTTACTGTCAGTATAATAAGATTCTCAGTTAAGGAATTCCTTGCAGCATTTCTGTTTTGTAATGAATTTATAATGATTTGCCTTGGCTCAGCCTTGATAAGACCAGATTCTCTTCTAGTCACTGATAAAATGATACAAGATTGAATAATCACCAGTATTTTTTTGACAGGGAAGTAAAGAAATCCATTATCATTGCCTTTAAATATGTGAAGAACTATTAGATTTAAGAAAGACTAGGCTTTTGTTCAGCATAATGGAAAACATGAGGCATATTTTAGCCTCAATAAGAGACATGACTCTACAAAACTGTCAAATTAGTGGAATAGATTGTCTCAAAGCTTCCTGGAAGTTCCTTGTCATTAGAGGGGCCTGTAGTAAAGAGGGGTACAGTAACAGAGTGATGAAAACTATGTAACTTTGATTCGTACCAACTGTGGAATTCTTTAGTTCTAGGCTAAAATGAATGAGAGTTAGTTTGCGTATCAGTTTGTGAAGACTTTCTTTCACTCATAATTCAACGGAAATAATTCCAGAAGAATAAGATTAAATAAATCATTATGTCAGTAAACATTTAGAGACATTCTGTATGCCTTACAAAATACAGTAGTAGTGAATAAAAAGTAATGGTTATTCTGTAACTTTAATTTTTGTATCAAAACGTTCACATTTAACTATTTAAAAATATATAATTATTTGAAGGTGAAACCTTTTGAGTTCTAAGATAACTGTGTTACTTAAAATATATTAGGTAATAAAAAGCATAATTTGATTTCAGCTACTTGGAAATTTTTGCTTCATACAATTGAAGTTCCGTATGTATTTAGCTGTGATTGCACTTCATTTCAGTTTATTTAGAATTGGTAACTAGCTAACACATTTAATATATATCATAAAATGCCAATTTGTGTATTAACTTTACCTAAGTGATTCAGATGTCTAAGAAATGTGAATATTGCTTCTCTAAATTGAGTTTGATAAGCTTAGGAAAATGGAGGCATAGTTTAAATAGTAAATTGTTCTTTAAAAGTGAAAGAAAAGAAAGAAATACAGGTCACAGCTTATTGTATTTATTTTTTTCTTTTCTCTAGTTGTAATCATTAGGACTATTTCCTTGTATCTATTCATTTATGAGCTGTTTGAATCTAGAATGATTGTTTATACTGCATTGTTCAAAACATGAGATTTTTAAGTTCAAGCAATAGCCCACTCTGGTGTCCTAAAATTTAACTTCAAAAGAGTTCCTAATGTCAAGAATTAAAATGTCTTAACATTCATATTTTGAAGTTTTAAATCAGTTCAGTCATTCATTTCACTAAACGGTGTACATTGTGCATATGCTGTGCACACGTACAGCATCTTATGCTGGACAGTGAGGTTTCCAAGTTAAGCGAAATGTTCAGTTTCCAGATTAGGCGAGACTGAAAGATGTGTTTTCCTTGTTGATGGTGAACATGGTGTCACAAACATACACATGGTCACTGTGCATCATATCAGTAATTGGCTTTGAACAATATTGGATAAATGTTGTCTTCTGTCAGTTGATATTATTTATGTACACTTATTTGTACTTGATTGATTTGTTTAGCTACTAATGTACATAATATATTTTTTCCTCCTATTCTAGGCACCAAGTATAGATGAAAAAGTAGATCTTCATTTTATTGCGTTAGTTCATGTAGATGGGCATCTCTATGAATTAGGTAAGAACTATTTTAATTTATCCTGGGGAGAAAAATGACCAGGCTTTATTTGTTGTAGATGGGACTGTTCCCACTTTGTTTACTGAAACTGATAGAGAAACAGTAAATGTACTGTATAATCAGAGATTTTAAAAGTGATGTTGTCATTGAAAGTGAGAGAATTGATAGAGAAGACAGTAAGTAACATCTAAGATGTTTGGAAAACAACAGTGAGAAAGAAAGAGTTGTAGTAAAAACTCAATGGGGATGGGGAGTGCTGGAGAGAAGCTTCAGCAGTCAAGAGCGCTGGCTGCTTTCTAGAGCTCCCAGGTCCAATTTCCATCACTACATGGTGGCTCAAAGGGGTCTGTAGCTCCAATTCCAAGGGATCAGACACGACACCCTCTTCTGGCTTCTGCAGGCACCAGGCATGCATATGGTGCACAGACATATATGTAGGCAAAAGACTCACATATAAAACAAAGTAATAATCAAAACAAAATCCCTCACTGAGCAGTGGTGGTGCACGCCTTTAATCCCAGCACTCAGGAGGCAGAGGCAGGTGGGCAGATCTCTGTGAGTTCAAGGCCAGCCTGGGCTACAGAGTGAGTTCCAGGACAGGCTCCAAAGGTACACAGAGAAACCTTGTCTCAAAAAACCAAAATTAAAAAACAAAAACAAAACCCCTCAATTTGGTTGGTCAGATTAATCTCTGAGCCTAAAGGCTAATGGGGAAGGTAGAAGGAAAGATATACATCAAAGGTAAGCTTAGACTGGAGGTGGATCAGAGGTTAAGAGGACATACTGTTCTGGCTTAAAACCTAAGTTCAGGTCCCCGGCACCTATATCAGGCAACTCACAACCTCCTATGACTCCAGCTCCAAGGGATATTGTACCCTCCATCAGTCTCTATATGCTCATGTTCATGCACAGGTGTGTACGCATACACACACACACACACACACACACACACACACACACACACACACATTTTAAAAATATATAGAACTATATGTATTAGAGACTGTTGAGATTAGAGTTTTTCAAGTGAGTTTAAAGAAATCAAGAAATGTAAAGAAAGCCATAGTCTTAGAAGCATTGTAGAGAATTGAGGTGGGTGCAAAACAAATAAATATGCACAGTTGATGATTCCTTCAGCAGAAATTGACATTACCCCAATATGAATGACATTAATGGTCCCAATAAGTTCAAAAAGAATGTTGAGCAAGCTGAATAATTCATACTGAATTTGTGAATAAGAATACAAGTTTTAAGAAAACAGTTATTTAAAATCACTATTGGTTCTTGGGATTGTACCTAGGACCTCATATATGCGAGGCAAGCAGTCTGCCACTGTGCTCTCCATCCTGTGTAATCTTGTTTTTAAGACCATCTGATGCAGGTGATTCCTGCAGGACAGTTGCTTGGCAATGTTACTTACTTACTCTTCACTAAGTTGTGAGGTTAACTGATGAAAAGGACCAAGTTCTTTCTGTTTTTTAATAATCATTTTTTTTTTCCTTGAGGCCTCAGTAAGTTCCTAGCATATTTAAAAACGAATCACTCCTTCTGGATAAATTAGCAGATTGGAGTTCAGTGGTGAATTCCAAGTAGACAAAATAAGCAGACTTAAAATATTTTAACTGATGTATTACTGCCTTTTAAAAGTAACTTGAAAAATTGTATTTTGGAATAATTTTGGATATTTATGGAAATTAGAAGTATAGTATATAGAGCTTCCATTTACCTTTCTCCTAGGTTTGTCAGATCCTGTTAGTGTTTCTGAAACATTGGAAAATGTGTTATAGACATGATTGATGCTGTAGTATCCTTTAATAGCTCTTTATGTATTTCCTTAAAGAGGTGGATACTTTTCTGTATGACTGCCATATGAAATCAACATTGATGCATTCGTGCCTAAAGATCTGGTTATGTGTTAATCACAGTAATGCCGTTTAGAGGTTCTGAAGTCAACCCAGGACTATGGCCCTGTTCTGTGTCTTTGTCTCCCTGAATCCCAAAAGTTCTTCAACCTTTTATTGTCTTTCGTGTCACTGACATTTATTTAAGACGATAGGACAGGTCCTTTTAGGTTTTCCTTCAGTCTGGGTTGTCTGCTCTGCCCTCATGATTTATGCGTTTTGGGGCATGAGTATAACAAGAGTGACGCTGCACTCTGCCTAGTGTATTGGGTCAGAAGGCCATTTGCCCGTTTCTGTCATTTTTGATGATGTTAACTTTTGTCACTTGGTTTAGTTAATATCTAGCTGGTTTTTCTACTACAATGCTAATTAGTAATTATTCTATGTTTTGTTATCCCTCTCTTCTTTTTAGATAGGGTGTAACTATATAGCCCTGGCTATCTTTAAAATCACAGAGATGTGCCTGCCTCTACCTCCCAAGTTTTGAGTTTAAAGGTGTGTGTCACTGTGCCTGGCCAGTGGTTACCATTCTTAACAAATATATAAAAATAGTCCAGGCCTGGTGGTGCATGCCTGAGATCCTAGTGCTAGGGAGGCTGAGGCAGGACAATCGTAAGTTCAAGTCTTACCTGGGTTACAGAGTGAACTCAAGGCCAGCCTGGTCAATGTAGTGAGTTTCTACCTCGAATTAACAAGGATCAAGGATAGAGCTCAGAGAGTGTTTTCTAACATATTTGGTGCACTTGGGTCAGTCCCCTACCTCACAACATCAGTAGCAAAATTCAACTGAAGGTTGGCTGTCCATCCCTGCATTATCTTTGCTCTAAACTGATGTTAGAATGAAATAGTATATAGTTTTGTTGTGCTCATTTTCTTTGACATCTCAAGATCAATTATTTGATATTTACTCTTAATAGGTTGATTGAAATTCTACATTATTTTAAACTTCTGCCTGTGAATAAAAATTATTCAGGAAAGTTTATTGCTTCACTCGAGTCTAATAAGATATCAGAATATAAATGATACAACCCTGGGAAATATACACATTATTTATTACTGTTATGGAGGGGAAACCTGCATTGTTTTGCTTTTACATAAAAATTAAAAGGTGAACAATACAGTTGTGGGGTAGACTATAATGCATATAATCTGTTCTTCCAGCAGTAGGACAGAGGGGCTATTGAGGAATGAGCAGCTGTCATAAGACTATTTCATTATTGTGTTTATTTGTTTTTGAAACAGGATCTCTCCATATTGGAAGTTATAGATTTGGATATAGATCAGTTCACTTAATTAGCATTGGCTTTTGTCATTGTGGACTTTTTTATAATGTTGAAAAGTACTAGCTTATTGAAGATGATTGTGAATTTGCATAAATAGTCCTAGGTTGATGGAATTGTTGCTTTGTGTTATTTTCATTGATAGTATTCAATTAAGCCCCAGTTGTATGTCTTTTTCATTGATAAAATTATGCCATTCTTACATAAAATCTTCTGATTTAGCTTTTTAAAGGTAAAAAAGTGCTTGTATTTTTAGGAGTAAAAATGATTGCTGGGCAGTGGAGGCACATGCCTTTAATCCCAGCACTCAGGAGGCAGAGGCAGACATATCACTGAGTTTAAGGATGGCCAATGCTACATAGAAAAAATGTCTTGAAAAATCAAAAAAAAAAAAATTTTTTTTTTTTTTTAAATTGTGGGCCAATTGGGCATTCTCTTCTGTAGGGACCAATACATAAAGCCGGAATTGTTATTTGAAGATAGACATGCCTAGTTAAAATGTGCACTGTAAATACGGGGACCATCCAGCAGTAATCCAGAGAAGCCTACCCCCTCCCCCAGTGCGTTAAGGAAAGAAAGTGCAGCAGTGTAAAGTGCTTATTTGAAATGAAGAAATCAGAAACAGAAGCTTCTGCTTGGGGTTGGTGTTAATCCAAACTCATATTTTTAAGTGTAAATAGTATAAGTATACTAATTGTGATATTTGGGGGAAGCTTAAAGCCATAGGTTACATATTTGAAAGTCCTTGTTTTAAGATATATTGCTTAAACTACTTAACTCTCCTTGACTCACTGTAAGAGAGGAAATGGAAGGTAAGATACACTTTCTGGTTAAAAACAAGGAACAATTTACCTATTTGTCTGTTTTCCACAGATGGACGGAAACCATTTCCAATTAACCATGGGAAAACTAGTGATGAGACATTGTTAGAGGTAACAGTAAAAGAACTGGCCCATTTTAACCTTCATGACCTTCTTATTCTCTTTAAACTTCTTGAAAGATGACTGGGTACTTTTTCTTTTGTGGATGCTTCTGGGTCCTTGATCTTTTTAGAAAATCCCCAACCAAAATTTTGAATTAGTCTTAAAACTATGCAAGCAAGAGACTTACAGAACTCTGTGTGAACAAGCTTAAGTTTGAAAAAGATAAAAATGAGTTGCTCATTTTCAGGTCATATTCCATTCAGTCCAAGATACCATTAGTTGTGACTTGATCCTAATTTTAGAGATCTTTTAATGGGAACAAGTGTGGTTTATTATCAAGGGATTATGTAATTTTCAGGTTAAAAGTTGTTTTATAAATTTTGTTAGTTCTCAGACAAAGTCTTGTTATGTAAACAGCACTAGCTGGCCTGGAAACTGGCTGTGTGGACGAGGCTGGCCTCGAATTTGAAGAATTCTACCTACTGAGGGTTGAAATTAAAGGCTGTATTGCCACGCCTCATGGGTTAAAAGGTTTTGAAAACCCCCTCAAGGAAGAGTATTCATCAGCTGGGTTTCATAGCAGAGATTAATAACCACAGCTACTTGGAAAAATTAGAAAAGAGAATGGGAGTTGACCTGCCTGACTACAGAGTGAGTTTAAGATCAGCCTGAACAACTTGGTGAGACTCTGAAGATGGAACAGGCACAGGCTTGAGTAAAGTGCTTGCCAAGACTCTAGATTTGATCCCCGGTCCTAGAAGCAGGCAGGCGAAGGTGGTGGCAGTCTTTGCTGTACTTGATGCTAAGCAAATTAGTTTGCCACCTGTTTATTCTTTGACATTTTTCATTTTCATTTCATGTTGAAAAAGAAGTCTTCAGTATAAAATTAGTATGAGTTAGAAGAACACAGACTTTATCAACTGAAAACATATACTTTCCCTCCCATAGGATGCCATAGAAGTTTGCAAGAAGTTCATGGAGCGTGACCCCGATGAGTTAAGATTTAATGCCATTGCTCTCTCGGCAGCATAGCTTCTCCACAGAAATACCAACTACTGTATTATCTGCAACAAAAGTTACATTTATGCTGCCATAACTAACTCAAAATTTTTGATATTTTCATTAACTTGACGGATTAAACTTTATGTGAATAAACTTTGACATTACCCGTGTTTCTTGTTGTTTTTGCTGCAAATTAAAGGTCAATTCTTTGTTTCCTTTTCCCCTGTAATAGATTTATCTTGTTGCAGTACTGGCAATAGCCTTCTTACTCCTTTGATATTTCAAGAAGATCGTGTATTAGGCAGCAGGCACACTTCCCACCCCTAGTGTGAACGTACATTATATTTTATATGTATCCTTATTTGTGTAGAAAAACCATTGTTGAGCATTTACTTGTAACAAGATGGTAACTGTTTTAGGCACAGGACTTAGCAGCTGTGTATGCTGTTGACTGATGCCATGTCACGAAGATAATGTTCTTGTGGTCAGAGGTGGGTAGCAAGCACACAAAGGACAGGCCAAGCAGTTAGAGTAGGGTTTGTGCTGGAGAATAACTGAATGCTCTTTAGGTCCTCTTGATCAGGGGCCTCTATGAAAAGTTGACCAAAGCTGAGACCTGAGTGACAGAAAATTATAAAGTGTGGGTGGGCAGGAACAGGAAGTAATCATCGCAGCATCTTAAAATTGTGATAGGACCTGCTAGAAGGGTTTGATGACCTTCACATAGGAAGTGAGGAAAGTAGCAAACAATGGGGTCAGAGAAGGCAGGACTTGGTGCTGCAGGAAAGGGCATTTGGATTTATCGCCATTGTGATGTCAAGTCATGGGGGGTTTTGAGTGGAAGAGGGTGAGCTGATTTGATTTATAACTTTGGAAGATCATTCTGATAACTATAGATGAATATTTGGGACAGAGCGGCTTCAAAATAGAGACAGAAGGACTTGTAAGAAACTCACAGTGGTAGTTCAGTGAGAGGTGTACGAGTGTATTTGGGGTGTGCTTAAGGAAGGAATAGCTCCAGGAAGTTTTCAAAGACAAGTATAAGGCTCTGAAAAGGTGGAAGAGTGTTTACAGAGTTGGATTAAGGCCTCGGGTTACTGAGATGAAATAGTTTAGATGTTTGCAGGGGAGGGGCCACTTGGATGTGTGCATTTACCAAAGCTCATTGAATTCCACACTTCAAATTTATATTTCACAGTATGTACATTTCATCTCAGATACGAGACAACCAAAACAGATTTGGACTGGAATATAATTGGAGAAGGGCCAGCCTGTCCTGAAATTCTGGATCAGTGACCAAATTTGTAGAGGATTCACTGAATTAGTATGGATTCCTGAGGCAGTTATGTGGCAGAAGTGTCTTTTAGCAAATGTAGTGTGGTGGTGGCTTGCAGAATGAATTGGATCTTTGTAGTTTAATGTCTTAGTTGCATCAGTACCTGGGAACTTATAAATGATGAGTTTCAGAATCTGCCCCACAACCTGCATTTTAAACTAGGTCCCCAAGTGACTCATGAATATTTGGGGAATCTCTAGAATAGGAAACAATACGGTCTAATTGGGAAGGCCACTTTGCAGGATTTAAGTTTCCTAGGTTTTCATCATTGCAAAGAGGGTCTAGATAAGTGCATGACAATTGGGATGGACTAATCTGAAATCCATTTTATACTGTGGCTCCCTACGTGCATGATGTCTTTGCTGTACCAGTAAGGAGCCGAGTGCTCTGTTCTTGTGACATCATGTGTGTGTTCACACACATGTCATGCCTCACTGCATTTCCCCCACTATGCGTAACTGAGTTCTAAAGTAATGGCACAGTATTACTCTTCAGGATTACTCTTCCTCCAAGTTTACTATGAAGAACACTAGGGAAAAAACGAATTGGTTGGCATGTTTCTTTCCTTTTTAATGTGTAAGGGCCAAAAATAGAGGGTATGTGCTTACTGTGTTTCACTGGAACCTTTAGTTTTCAGGGGAAACACATCTGTCTGAGGGTCTATTTGCTCTGTTTGATCTATTTGTCCCTGTTTGATTATGTGACATTTGGTGTAAGTGACTTCATTTTTAGCATGGTCTTTTCGGGCTTAGGGCAGGAGGAGCTCAGTCTAAAAGGCCTCCTATGTTCAACAATCCCTTATGAGCCAACTTGAAATTGTTCCCTTGCTTCCTTTTTCTAAGTACTGGCCACATCTTGTGCTCTGTGCCTTTCAGTACTGTGCTCAGTCACGTTCTTAAGACTTGGCACCTGTAGGACAGATGAATAGTTTTCTGTAGAAATCTGTAGAGACAAAGGCCAAGAAACGTGTGGCCCTTTTCTGTATAATGTGAATCACCATGATAAATCTAGAGGGCATGTTCCTAACATAGGGAATAAATATTTTCATTAAGGGCTTTCAGAGTTGACTAATAATCTTATTAGGAGTATTTGTTTGCTTTGAACTCCTAACACTGCTAGGTCTTCCTGGTGATCTGGAGATTTCTTGAAGAGTGTATATAGATATGAACCTGCTGTGTTACTTTTGGTTGTGGATGTCGTGGAGTTTGGTGTCAGGTGGTGTTGGAATGGAGGCCAGGACCAGTCCACAGAGAAGGATGCTTGCATGCCCTCACCTTCATACATGTTCACACTTGGAAAAGTCCAGTAACTTATGTCTAGATTCTCTGTATTAAATAAATCCTTGACTGATGCTAAGGAAAAGCACTTGAAAAGTGTTTAATCATTGTAAGATGTTTTGAGAGCTAGTGTGGTAGTTTGAATGTAATTGGCCCCCATAAGCTCATAGGGAGTGGCATTTTTAAGAGATCTGGTTTTGTTGGAATAGGTATGGCCTTGGAGGAAGTGTTTCACTGTGGGGGTGGTCTTTGAGGTCTCATAATAGGCTCAAGTCAGGCCCAGTGTCTCAGTTCACTTCCTGTTGCCTTTGGATCAAGATACTGAATTCTCAGCTCCTTCTCCAGCACCATGTGGCACCATGATAATGATAATGGACTAAACCTCTGAAACTGTAAGCCATTCCATTAAATGTTATCTTTTATAAGAGTTGTCATGGTATCTCTTCACAGCAGTAGAAACCCTAAGACAGTTTAGAGGGCCTTTTCTACACATAAAGTTTGATGTTTTTATCTTTTAAGATTTTCTGGTAAGATTGTATTCCTGGTACTTCCATAAAATTATTACCAGAACCCAAGTATGGAATATGCTGTGTTCAAATAGCAGAAAACGGATCACTGTTTCCTTTATTTTGATACAAAAATTTAACCTTCAATTAAATACTGTGATATCAAAAATTGAATACTGTTAAGGCATGGGGGAGGGCTGTGCCAGTGGGTCATAACTATTTTGACTTCATTTCTTATATATTCTTACTTGCTTTTTCTTTTAAATAAAAGTTACTTTAAATCTGTGTCTTTTGGTAATTCTAAACCTGTTATTTATGTTAGATGAAGGTCCTCAGTGTGACATTTCCACAGTTCACAACTACATGCTCTAAAGGAGCCCACCAAGAGAGTGAAGGCAGGCCATTGTCCATTGTTCCGGATACTGTAGTTGGGAACCCCTCACTGCATACAACCTATATTGGAAACTTATAAAATGAATTAAAATTACCTAGAAAATTATAATAAAGATTTTTAGATACACAAAATACATGTGGTTTGAATGTGAAATTTCCCTCATGAACTTAGGTCCCCAGGTGATGCCATCATTTTGGAAGGTTGTGGAACCTTTAGAATTGGAGGCTTGCTGGGATGAGTCAATGGGGCTGGGCCTTGAGGTTTGATAACCTAGACCCACATCCTGTCCTTCCTGTCATTAGTGGCTTCTTCACTAGGGATACGTTGTGACCAGCTGCCTTAAGACACCAGTGACCATGCCTTCCCAACCATAGTGAGCTCTATCCCTTTCAACTAACTGTAAGCCAAATTAAGCCCTTCACTGATTACAGTGGCTTCTAGTCAGGTGACAGTATGAGAAAAGTCCTCCAGTAGGGATGATGTATAAATTATTTTAAGTTGTCAAAAACAAGTCCCCAGTGTTACAATTCACCTAAGAGGTGAAAAGAAATTTTTTGAAGATACTTGTATCTTGAATATGAAGGATTTGAAGTACACAGGAATGTTGTAAAAATCAGCCCTTTTTGGCGGTTTTATTTCTGTTTTGTTTTTAATGTAGTAAGACTGATGAAATTTTGCTTACTGAGGATTTGTGTGGTGACATACAATGGCATGTCAATTTTGCTTTAGGACAAAGCTGTAGGAAGTAGTTTTCTAGGAGGGATCCTTCTCGGTGTCCTTGAACACTTGAGTGTTTAGGGAGGAAGCTTCTACCTGGTCTCCCACCACTGCGCTCTTCTTGTACACACTGGTCACAGTGTGCACAGTGAACATGAATGCTGTGCTCTCCGGTTTTGCTTTAGTGTGTTTTTTTGTTTGTTTATTAACCGTCAAGAGCAAACGTGGTATTTTGTGATTTTGGGTATAATTTAAAAGACGCCTTTTGAGAAATTGGCTTATCTTCCCAACTAAGAAGCAAACCACCTTCAGTTCGCCTTCATTGAGGATGAAGAGAATGTTTCCTGCCAGCTGTTGTCAGTATGGCTTGATAACGGAGCACAGTCTGAAGGTTTCAAGGTAAGTGTTGATTTAGTTTTAAGAACTTTTGAAGACATGGCTTGTGAGCAAAACGAATGTGAAACGCCTAGTCAGCTATTCACCTCACTGAGTGTGACCTGTACCCCAACGCTGCTTTCAGAATGGAGCGCGTGTTCCGGGTACCACAAAAATCCCAGGGAAGGCTTTCTCTTTCACCGGACTAATGGCCGCCCCCGTGGTCTTAGCCTGGAATGCCTGGGAAATGCGACTAGAGCTAAAGTAATGGGACACAGTGCTCCGGACAACTATGATATCTGTTTGCTTTTCTTCTCCCTCTCTCTCCTTTCCACTCTCCCTCTCCCTAGCCCTCTCTCCTCCCCCTCTGTTTCCTGCCCCCTCCCTCCTTTTCTCCCTCTCTCCTGCTCAACCCTTTCTCCCTCTACTTCTCTCTCCCTCTTTCCCTTTTTCTACTCTCCTTGCCTCTCTCCTTTCCACCTTCTCTCCTATCACTTTCTCCTCTCTCCCTCACCTTTCTCCCATCTGCCTCTCCTCTCCCTCCCTCTCTCTCTCTCTCTCTCTC